AATCTTGGAAGGCTGGCATGCTGCAAAGTGAAATGCAAGCTTCCAGTCATCTGTACAATACTGCTTCTTGGCCACACATGGAATATTTTTCTTTTCAAGACTATTGGTTGCTGCCACACACACCCTTCTTGCAACAGTTAAATATCTGCCTTTTAAGGCATACTTTAAATACCTAAATTGGGCAAGGTTCAGTCTCTCCTGAATGCTGCACCTATGTTCTTTTTTAGCTTTTAAATGTTTAAGATAACCATTTTAAATTTCTATTATATGTTCAATTGCTTTTTAACTTTGCACTTTATTGTGCTTTTAGTTCAACTTGCCCTATTTGTGAGCTGTCTTAGGTCCCCTTCTCCAGGAGAAAGGTGGCATATAAAGATTAAAGACAACGGACTTTTTCAATCAACACAATATTTCCAAATGCCAGAGCAAACAGAAAAGTTATATACTGAAACAAGGAAGATTGTGAGGTTCATACCAGTTATACTTCTTTGAGAGGACATTTCAAAATTAGGGTTTAGTTACTGAAAATGTCCTCTCCTTAGTGCATACGGTACACATTCCTAGTTTGGAAAATGCTTGGAGAAAGATCTCCATCTAAGATCTCAAAGTGTTGGCAGGCTGGTATGAAAGGCTGTGCACCTTCCGGTATGTGTCCCCAAACTGTTTAGAGCAGTGGTTCTTAACCTTGGGTTACTCATGTGTTTTTGGACTGCAACTCCCAGAAGCCTTCACCACCAGCTGTGCTGGCTGGGGTTTCCGGGAGCTGTAGTTCAAAAACACCTGAGTAACCCAAGGTTAAGAACCACTGGTGTAGAGCACTAAAGAGAAGGATCCACACCTTGAATTGGGTTCAGAAGCAAACAGGCAGCCATAGCAGTTCTTTAAAATTAAAGTCAAATTAAAACTTGAATTTGAAAATCAGAACTTGAATTTCAAATGGAAGAATGGTATAATGAAATATGGAATATTGTTATAAATGATAAATTAACTTGTAATTTAAAGGTCAAGAAAGGAGAGGTAAATTCATTTTTATGACATACAGGGCAAAAGGGAAAGTTCCAGATCAGGAATCAATGCAGTTCTGGAGAGGAGAGAAATAAAGGAAGAAGAATAAAGACAATGGAAGAAGACGACTACTACAAGAGGTCCCGACTAGGGTGGTGTGGAACACAATTGATTTGTATTTTGGTTTATGTGTTTTATGCTGTAGTTTATAATAAATTAAATTAATAAATTAAATTAAAGACATATGACTGTTATTAGCCGAAACTGTTCAAAATCTGGCAGCCAAGTTCAGTAAAACTGAAGTTTCTGAACTGTTTTCAAGGGCGGCCCCCAGTTATAATGCACCAAAGTCATCCAAATTAAAACAAAAACAAATTCCAAGCACAGACATGGCAGGTAAATGCAAACAGAAGAGAGCATGTCATTATTTCAAAGCCTCCTAGTGAAGATGTCCTTTCATTGTATATACAACTCCTCACCGTTGAAGGAAGACATCGTAGTAGTCCCTCTTCATGCACTTTGCTGTGATCTGCTTGTATTCCTTCAGCACCCTTCGGATAGTGTCACTCAAGGCCCCATATAAACATCGCTCCCCGTCAAAGGTGTTTGCCTCACATTTTGCACCTGCAAGGAAGGCCAGTCTGTACTTAGATATGAAGTTAATGCTGCAAGTATTGTGAAGAAACATATGGACAAAGAGGAGCTTTTCTCCCTCTGCAACTCCTGAGGGCATCAACCAAAGCCTAAAGGTGGAGGATTCACAACAGATAAAAGGAAGTATTTGTTTGCACAGTGCACAGTTACAGAGGCCCTCGCCATCACAAGATGTTCAATACTGCGAGTAGCATTGCCAGTTTTCGGTCACTCATATCTTGCTTGTGGCGTCCTACAAGGCAACCAGTTGACCGCTGAGTGAACAGGATGTTGAGCTAGATAGGCCTCTGGCAAAGCCTATCCAGGCAAGGCAATTCAGCAAGGCTCTTCTTAGCTGCCCAAACTCAGTATGCCTGTTGGTAAGAGTACCTCCATTTTTGATGCAGCCTGGTGACATGTATACATCTAGAAATTAGTTAAGCAAACACTGCCACATCATCTCAGACATGCATTATTCTTCTATGGCAACCTGAGCCTGCTTTGAGTCTAAAATTCCATCTTTTTAGTTCATGCTGTGTTCTTAAGATAATCACTCAAGTACATCTTCCTAAGGACAACAGCCAGGGATGTTTACTGTGAGGTATTTTCCATTATGGAGCTCTCAAAAGCTGTGCTTGTTGCATTCAACACTGCACTGCCAGGCAGAACCTTTATTTCTTACATAAATAAGTAGTACAACTTTCTATGTCTGCCTGGTATGTCATCCAATATGATGTTAGAAACAAGGTTTTAGAGCTCTGCATTTCACTGAATGCAACCTTTACATTATTTGTAAATGTCAAATAATAAACGTAACCATTGTTAAAACAAACATGGGATTACGTAGAAGTACAGTTGCTTAGACTTTAGCTATGGAAATAATTGTTTGTTATTTGCCTTTACTGCTGTTGTTGTTTTTAAGCATAAAAGCAGAATGCAAGTGTAATAACTACATAAATATAAGCAATGAGCTAATACTGATTCAATAGTAGAAAGTCGTAACGAATGTAGGGGAGGGCAGGATACTGCTGCTGAATGGGTGTCTGCTGGAGGGGGCGGAGCCGCGGACTACAGATCAGCTTTTTGTCCAGGAAACGAACCACATTGAACTGCCAAATCAGCAGTTCATGCCACTCTCTAGCAGAGATAAAGTGGAAACTTTCTACAAAGCTGCTCTTGCCCACATTAATAACTTTGGCTTTTAAGAAGCAGTACAGTGGTGCCTTGCTTAGCAATGTTTCCTATGGCAATTTTCGCTTAAGGACGGTAATCCGTTCCCATTGGAACGGATTATCCGGTTTTCAATGCATTCCTATGGGAAATGCTGTTTCGCTTAGCGATGTTTTCCCATAGCAATGTGGTTTTTTTTTTAACCAATTAACATCACTAAGCGAGGCACCACTGTATAATAATCCTCTGAGGAAACTGCTAGGTGAAAGACTAAATGGTGGCAGAGTTTTAAAACCTGGAAGCCTAGACAGTTCTGCAAATAAAAGTAACTACTGCTGGTTCTAAGACTTTCTACTATTGAGTCTATATTGATTTATTACTTATGTGTATTTGTTACTCTTGCATTCTGCTTTTCTACTAAAAAAAAGCAGTAAAGCTTCTCTGGCCGCAAAATTTAGGTTTGACTTGCAGCCTGAGAATTGACTTACAGACCAGAAAAAAACCAAAATGGAACAAAAACAGCCTGTTACGGGATTAATCGGTTTTCAATGCACTGTAGGTCAATGGAGACTTGACCTACAGACTTTTTGACTTGAGAACCGCCTTCCAATATGGATTAAGTTCTCAAGTCAAGACCCCACTGTACTAAAAAAAAGCAGTAAAGGCAAATAACAAACACAATTATTTCCATAGTTAAAGTCTAATTAATTGTACTTAGATTTGTACTTTTTTTTTAAAAGGGAAAAAAACAAATTAACATATATATTTGTGGAATAAAATGAGATCAAGAAGACTATTTTAAAAATAGCAGCCCTTTACACTGGATAACATCTCATTCTAAAAAGGCTAACACCACAGGATTCTAACCAGTTCTTCATTAACATTACTATCACAAAGGAAAGCCTATCTTGGAAGAAGCAAAGAAGTTCTTTGCCCAACAGGAAGCAAGAAATCCAATGAAGGTTATGCAGCTCTCCTTCACAGCAGGACAGCAAACGGGTTCAACATGCTGCCATTTCATGGAGATAGGGGAACACAGATTTTGCACATATTGTCCAGGAGGAAGAGGGAACCTATCAGCTTCTCTTACCACTGGCCAGAAGGTAGCGTACAAGCTCTTCATGCCCACAGAGACAAGCATAATATCTGTAAAGAAGAGCAAATACTGTATATTGCCAGAAATATATTGTTAGAAACAAAAACTTTACAAAATGCCTGAAAACATCACAGTTTCCAAAAGTCCTCCCCCAGTAACAGCTTTGTAATGTAACGGAGAACCTAGAATCACATGAATGACTAACCCCTTACAAAAGAGTGATCTAGTAGGCTTAATAATGCTAAAGCCTAAACAAGTATCGCGGGGGGGGGGAGCAATTTTCCCATGTCTTCAATTCGTATGTCTCTCTTTGGGGACAAGGGCCATGAAGACTTATTTCCAACTCTCTTTTCCTCAGGGGTAGAAAGCCTCACAGAGGATGTACTTTGGAAGGGGCAGGCACAAGAGAAAGTGGGCTGAGCATGTGAGACAGGCCATGGGTCAAAATTCTTCAAAGGTGCTATGCCAAGGACCACTGGAGACCACCCCCTCTTGTAACAAACAAAACAGAGCTCTAGATTAATAGTACTGCTAAAAGGCTGACACTGTAAGGCCATGGTGAATAAGAAGGGAGTATCAGATGTCATCGAAGAGTCACCCAGCTGTAGATTAGCTGGAGGGAAACAATGCTACAAATATAAAAGCTCTTTTCCTAGGAAGGTGACAGGATATTAAGGGAAGGCCTCAAACGATGACCTGAAGTAGGAAGATGGGAACATTCATGCAGCAAAAGGGAGCCCATTAGGTTCCAACCTATGAGGTCTAAATAGGCAAAAATAGGATATTGCCTAGAAACAGAACGGCACCTAACACAAATGGTCCAAAGACAATAGAAGTGCTTAATATTTCATGAACACAGTATGCCACTCCAGAGATGCCTACGTTAACTAGTCTTTTATGGCAGAAATTTTGTATCAAAGGAAAAAAGCAAAGTGTGCTGCTTAAATACTGCCTCATAGTGCTTAAAGCACTTTCTGGGCAGTTTACAATTTAATTATAATTACCCACTCTCAGCAAGCTGAGTAGTCAATTTACCGATCTTGGAAGCCTGGAAGGCTGATCGAACCTCAAACCGGCTATCTGGTATTGAACCCAGACCATGAGCAGAGTTTTGGCTGCAGTACTGCAGTTTAAGTACTGCACCACAAGGCTTTCACTTATCAGGTATGCTTTAGGGTGACATACGTTAGGGACATACAGAAGGGTGATTCATGCTTTGATTGCATGTTTCCCATCTATCTGACGGCTGATCGAACCTCAAACCGGCTATCTGCTATTGAACCCAGACCATGAGCAGAGTTTTGGCTGCAGTACTGCAGTTTAAGTACTGCACCACAAGGCTTTCACTTATCAGGTATGCTTTAGGGTGACATACGTTAGGGACATACAGAAGGGTGATTCATGCTTTGATTGCATGTTTCCCATCTATCTGACTGGTGTTGGGACATACAGAAGGGTGATTCATGCTTTGATGGCATGTTGGTGTTGGAAAAAGGACACTAGATTAGATGGATCTTTGGCCCAATCAAGCAAGGCTCTACTTAACGTTCTATTAAAATACTTAACACATTCTGCCACAAAAGCAGTGGCCATGGACTCCATTGCCATCCAGAAGCATCTTCTAAGGCAGAAAAAAGTATTGCGTGGCCATGGACTCCATTGCCATCCAGAAGAATCTTCTAAGGCAGAAAAAGTATTGCCATTAGCAGTGGAAGCAGTCAAGAATAGACAGCATGGCCCAACTGGGTGTGATCATATGGGATTACAAGCAAGAGCAGCATGCAGGATATGGAGTATACTTTTTCTTCAGAACAAAATATCCACAGCTGAGAAGGGAAAATGCTGCAAAGCCTTAAAATAAAAATTTCTAAAAATACTATATGGGTTATCAAACAGTAGGTCTCAAAGCAAAAGCACTCACAAAGGGGTACTGTCCCATTTATCTCGGACATTGATTTCAACATCTCTCTGTTCAAGAAGGTATCTGAAACGAGAAACAAGGAAACAGATTTAATTTATTGAACTGACTTCAGGTACAGCTTCAGCATCGTTTTGCAATTTTTTTTAAAAAAAGCATAAGATTCTAGTCCCTCTATAGAAGAAAAGTGAAACTCCAGCAAAACCTTCCTTTTTGGCTGATAAGCCCAAGGTGCTGAGTTATTTTCTGCCGGGTCTTAAGAATGACAGCTGAAAGTAAATCACAAAAAACCAAAAGCAAAGTGTGTTGGTTATATACTACCCCATAGTGCTTCAAGCACTCTCTGAATGGTTTACGTCAATTATGCAGGCTACAAAGTTAAGTTATTATTTTTGATACTGGATGCTTCATAAGCAAAATGTGTTAACGTTGTGATCAGTACTGATTTAATTTTAGTGAGTGACATTGTATGCTACACTGCATTTGCTGTTATGTGCTGTCAAGTTGCCTCCACCTTATGAAAACCCTATGCATGAGTAACCTCCAAACTGTCCTGTCCTCAACTGCCCTGCTCAGCTCTTGCAATCTCAAGCCTGTTGCTTCCTTGAGGGAGTAAATCTACCTACCTACCTACCTACAGTACTTACCTACCTATCAAAATATTTCTATCCTGCCTTTCTCCCCAAAAAGACCCAAGACAGCTATTTGATCTTGTATTTGGTCTTCCTCTTTTCCTGCCTTCAACCTTTCCCAGTATTATTATATTTTTCCAAGAATCTTATATTCTCATGATGTGTTCAAAGTACAAGAGCCTCAGTTTCATCATTTTTGCCTCCAGAGATAGTTCAGGCTTAGTTTGCTCTAGGACCCACCTGACTGTCATTCTGTCAGGGCTAAAACAAAATAAAATTAAATTAAACAGTGGTTGTTGTAGGTTTTGCAGGCTTTTTGGACGTGTTCTGAAGGTTTTTCTTCCTAATGTTTCACCAGTCTCTGTGGCCGGTATCTTCAAAGGACAGGAGTTAGAACTCTGTCTGTGGTCTGGTGTAGTGTGTGGGATAGCTGATTATTTATAGCTGTGGGATCAGCTTTTTGTCTTTTTCAGGAGATTGGGTGATTATGGTTGTTGTTGTTGTTTTGCTATGGGTGTACTGTCGTAATAAGAGGGGGAGATGATCTGTCACTTTGATTGATGGGTGTTGTTAGCTAGTCTTTTGGGTGCAGTGATCTGGGTAGAGTTTGTTGACCTTTTGCAAGCTGTATTTTTCATGAAATTCTATTTCAAAACACAGAAGTACTGGACAACATCAGCAATAATTATGTTTGACTACACAGGGAAGCTACTGAAATCCACAAACACCAGCAGAGCTTCAACAAAAAAGAAGAAAATCTAAAACTCAACAAAGTCTGGCTCCCAGCACTGAAAAATATAGCCTGCAAAAGGTCAACAAATGGATTCTGGCCATGAAAGCCTTCAAGAATACAAAAATTAAATACATAAATTAAATACAGTGGTGCCTCACTTAATGGGTGCTTCGTTTGATGATGAAATTGCTAGACATTGATGTTTTGGCGATCACAAAACAATGTTCCCTATAGGGGAATTTCGCTTTGCGATGATCGATTCCCTGCTTCGGGAACTGATCATTGCAAAGTGATGATTTTCGGCCAGCTGACCGGCGGTTTCAAAATGGCCACCGGGTAAACAAAATGGCCGCCCGCTGCACGGATTCCTCGCTGCACATGCAGCGAAAATGGCTGCGCTATGGAGGATCTTCGCTGGACGGTGAGTTTCAAGCCCCTAGGAACGCATTAATCGGGTTTTAATGCATTTCTATGGGCTTTTTAAAATCGCATTACAACGTTTTCGTTTTACAGCGATTTCGCTGGAACGAATTAACATCGTAATGCGAGGCACCACTGTATAATGCAGGAGTAGGTGATGCTTTTGGTAGACTTCTAAAACATCAGTTTCCAAAGAAAGCCATGTGAGAGCATATATGCACGATGCCTGGGTTTCTTTGCTTGAAGAACTGGGGTGTGATATCCAATCAACAACTACCTGAGCTCTGGTTGTAAAACCACACTTCCAATGCAGTCTGTGCTTTTTCTAACCTTCCTGTTAAAAACAAGCCTGGCACAACCATCTACCATGAAGTTTTGGGACTCTAATTTCTCTGCACATGCTTGAGAAAGTGAACTTTAATTCACAAAAACTAGTAGACAGTATTTTTTAATGGTCTAATAAAGTTATCACCTACTCTTGCACTGTATTGTGTAAGGACCACACGTTTCACATAAATTAAAACAGTTTAAAGAAATCATATCTTCTCCAAAGTGGGGTAAATATATTTATTAAAGACCTTGATGTGCCATTTCTTCTCTTGTAAGTTCATGTTTTGGTGCTCTGGGAGTATCTGAAGCTGTCAGCTGTTTCACAACATGAAACTGAACTGATAGCCTAGAAGAGGCAAAAAATTGTTTTTCTTCTTACAAGCATTACAAAGAACCTCCTGTTGCTGACATGAAGCAACCTGGTAACAAGTCAGTTTATTACCAAATACATAGCAGTGGTGAGAAGAGGGAAGGTTGGCTAATATACAGACTATCAAAAAAGCTTTTCCTATTATTACAACTATCACAAAATAACATGTGACTATAAAATAATGTTCTGTATTGCTATATAGAAGATAATAAGCCTCAGTGCTGTTTACAGTCAATTGGAATAATCTGATTGGACTGGAGTGGCTGTGCCACTTCTTTTAAAGGCTGAGCAGAAATGAGAACCAAGCCCTCCTAGGAACCCCAGTCCCTTACTCAAGTCTATAGGACCACTCATCAGATAGTTAACATTTACTACAGCATAAAAGAGCTACCCACACTGGGTATCCCTTTTACACTGCAATAGATGTTAATTATATGATCAATGCCAAGATGCTTTGTGTTATTACTCAACATTGCTTTGTAAACAATTACTGGAAAGGTTCCGTATATGTAGTTTAAACTTTAATTTGCACCATCTGCACTTCATTAATTTCACTTCTGTCTAACCACACTATGAACAATCGCCCTCCCCATGCCTGGCAACCGGTTCTGTGCAGCTATGTGTGTCTGCCTGCTTTTCCTAGATCTAAGGCACACTAGCCTACAAAAGCTTATGTCGCAGTAAACGTGCCCGCCTCTATCCTAGCACACACCAGGCGAGCGACTCGTTCATGGTTTCTCTTTTCAAGCCCGAGTGGGAGGAGCGGCTTGGCCAAGGTTATGGGAAATCCCCTTCTAGGGCACCCCTCTGCACTTTTACCAGTTTCGTGTGCAATAACCCAAAACATCTCCTGTCGTTACCCTGTTTCACCCCGTTAAAGAAAACTTTGGTACAGTAGCTGCTAAGAAGCAGGAGGTAAACACGCCTGCTCGAACCAGCGGCACCGCCGAGCAACGTCTCAGAGGAGAGCGCCTTCTCCGGCCAGCTCCTTCCCAAGCCGTGCCTCTTTAGGAGGGGAGCCTTCCAAGCTCCCTGGTCCCGGTCAGCCTAGGGCACCAGCCAGCCAGCCAGCCAGCCCCCCGCCCGGCTCAACTTTCCTCGCTCTCCCAGCGCCCCGAATAGCTTCTCCTCCCTCCCTTCCCCCCCCCCCCCCCGCCGCCGCCGCCCCTCTGGCCCCGGGGGCGCGGGCCTCACCGCACTCGGCCAACATCGCCTTTCTTGCAGCTGATGAAGAGGTCGCTGGTGTCCATGGCCCGGCGGAAGAAGGCACCGCATTGACTCGGCCTGCGGGACGGGGAAGGCGCGGGAGTCCTGGGGACAGGCCGAGCCTGGGAAGGGCGGCAGCCCGGGAGAGCCCGGCTTCCGAGGGAAACACGGCGGCCCAAGGGCTGATAAGGGCGAAGGCCGAGCCCGCTGGTCCTGCCCGCGCTCGCGTCGCTTTGCCTCCCCGCCTTCTCTCCTGGGGACACAGCAGCGCCCCTCGGCCCGGCCCGGCCGCCCCGTCCCGCCCCCTTCTCCGCCCCCTCGGGCGGTCTCGACAGAAGGCCTTGGGAAGCCTGGCTACGGCTCCGGAGGGCGGAGGCGGAGGCGGGCTCTCCGGGCTCTCGCTTGCCCTGCGTTAAGCCATGGGTCCTCCCCCGCCCCTCGGTGCTGAGGGCCGGCGGCCACCCTGGAGCAGCCGTTTGGACTGGATTGAGGGCCAGGGCCGGCGCAGGAGCTGCTTTAACCCGCCTAACAGCCTTTGTCTTTGACCCGGAAGCTTGGTCTGGGAATGACTGAGTGCAGACGTGCATAGTCGGCTGGACTGAGGGTCAGGGACCTTTGCCCGCCCGCAGGCCTTCTCCGTGGATTGAGGTCACCACGCGTTGTTTCGGCGCCCCTCTCGTCCCGAGGTCGGAACATCGGAACTTCATGGCTGTAGGGAGTGAGCGAGTGAGTGAGTGAGTGGGGAGTCCGTTTCGTCAACAAGTAGAAGAGGAGCAGGCGGGAAATCTTAACACTATCAACCTCTGCTTCTCTTGTGTGAGAGGCAAAAGTGGTCTGGGGTGGGTGGGCTTTGTCCTAAAATTTATCCCCGTTGCATATTTTGCAGGGGGTGAGATGAGGCTGGCAGGGAGGCAGACTGAGTCTTCCGTCTTCCCATGTTAGGCTCTCAAATATTACAGCTTGGAGTTTATTTTTTAAAAACCTTGTCCTTTGTATTAGTTTTCCATTGAATGGGGCTCAAACTAGCCAAACCAGTTAAACGCAAAATAAAGTACAGAATACCAAAATATAAGGTGTGTATGTATATTGAACCCATAAAACATGTGAAGCCTGCTCCCCAGTAATGATGACTCTTATCATGAAAGAGTCTATTGTATTTGAGGCTGCAAATAAAACAATTAATCAGGAGAGGTTTGCCACTCATGACTTTATTCTTCTTGTAGTGGGGTTTGGATGGTTCTGTAGCCAGCATTTTCAGGAAAACATCGCCTGGTGGGATTTTGGGCATCAGAAACAGAATCAGTAGGGGAAAATGTTTAAGGTTTCCAGCTCTAGTTTTTTTAAGAGAATATGTGATACCAAACTCATGTTTCAAAGACAAAATAGGCAGGTTCTATATGTTTTGCTCTTAGCCCGCCTATATTCTCAACACTATGCTGGATATTTCATTTTCCAGACAGAGGACTCAAAATCAAAAGCTGATGTGCTGCTATAACTTCTTTTCCTCCTTGACAGGTAATTCCTGGTAAGAAACAAGTTGAAAGACAGCCTTTCCCTGGTAGACCTCTATGGTAGAAGGCTGCTATTGTGGTCAAGTGATGTTTTGAATGTTGAATGAATAATGTCCCATTTCTGTCTATTCCAGTTATCGGTACATCTTGGCTGAGTACTAGTTTGCTGTCTTTTAAGCTCAATAGAACCCATGTATTAATGGAGTGGAGGACTGAATTGTATTATTCATATGGATGAATTTATTGTTGTTTATGTGATTGTATTGGTAATTGGGTTATAGGTCTTGCAGTATATCTCCTTTTATTCCCCCCCCAAGGATTGTTAATAAAATTAAAATATACACAGTATACCATACAACGAAATTTCCCCCCCCCCAAGGATTGTTAATAAAAAAACTCAGTTTACATCTGGGATTACATGTATAAAATCTATGCTTACTAGCCTGTGTGATAGTAACTTGAAAACCCAAGTAATCCCATTTTAAGAAAGAAAGAAAGAGATGTTCTATTTTCAGCCTTTTCTAGGAATTAGGTTATCTTGCAGGTTCATGAGCACCAAATATCATTCTTCTCAACAGTGAAGCAACCTAACCATTTTGCTATGTGAATGAATCCCTCCAAATCATTTCTGAATCACAAAGGCAAGGAAAAATACAGAATCAGTACTGTAACAAGCAAAGTGTCATTTTCTACTGCAAGGGCATTCAACTTATTCAGACTCCTATTGAGGTGCAGGCCATTCTAAGCTTTCAATTTTTGAGCATCAAACACAGTGCTGTCCCTTCCACAGTTACAAACTGAGTCCAGTGGCTAAAGGTTAGAAATGCGGACTGTGGAAACTGCCATGATGCAGATCCTTGTTCAGCTATGAAGTTGACAGTGTGGTCCTTGTTGGTATTCTCCACCTAGTTACCTTGCATTGATAAAACATCACCATGCTTTGTGGAGGGTAGTGTATAGGTAAATATCAGATCTTGGTATCCTGCTGTTTGCTATTTCCACTTCATTTCCGGTGTGCACTGACTGGTTCCAACACTCAGTCTTGTAAGTCCCGGTGTGCACTGACTGGTTCCAACACTCACCCAGTCTTGTAAATCTCCATCATAAATTCAGGGATAATGCATACACTGAACTTAGCACTTTGTTTATCTTGAATCTTATCCAGGAATGTCTACCTAACAGAAAAGAAAAACAATGTGCAGGACACTTCTATATTTTGATCAGAACTTTTTATTTCAGAAAGTGCCATTGGTGACTAGGGAACAAATGCTGGCAAGTGAAATGACAGATTAAACCATCACATATTGCAGTATGTAAAACTTCCACTGGGAAATGAATTCCACTTGTATCTATAGTAAGGAGATTTTTGAAATGAAGACTGCTTTGAAAAATAAAACCAGAGGAGAAGAGGAAAGCAACCATGCAGCATTTGAAGTCCCACCTGTTCAAAGTTAATAGTGCAGTCCTCAAAAGTAAATTACAATCCAATTGAATTTATTTCTTTATGTAGTAGATTTAGTATTGCAACTAAATTCCATTTCAGTCTTTAAAATGGAAAAATCCCATCAAATAATTCAAATCAGTACAGTATAAGCCTTTCTTACCTCTTGCATTCACTTCTCTAGTTCTTTATTGGCAGCATAACCATCCCCTATCGAGACATACTAGTGGTACCTCAGTCACATGTTGCAGTATTTAGGAGATCATTCTGCTCTAACCTGAATTTCATCAGTATAAACATTCAGGAGGTAGGATCGAAAGGTTAACAGTTGCATTATATTCACAAGCAAGTAACAAAAGTTACAATAACAGATTTCTCCACATCAGTCGTTTTTCACGGAAGGAAGGTTTTACAAGGAGGAATTGTTTCTTTTAATCGGTGATTAAGTCCATATTCAAGGCAAATCCTGCTGTGTAGCAATCTATGCATGCTGTTCTCTGCCTGTTTGGTGAATTGAGAAGCTTTCACATCAGATGCTACACAGGGTAACCTACAGATCCTTTCAAAGCATGAGATGATCCCAAAAAAGGCCATTTTGATAGCTGTTCCACATCATGAGAAAGTCAGAGAAGTGCCTAGAATACCTATAAACCATTGTGTGTTTTAAAACACAGTGTTTTGTACAAAGAGGCAGCTCTACAGAAAGTAATGCTTGGTCATCATTTCCTAGGTTGTGTATACAAAGTGAAACAGACCTACTCTCTCTATTATTTGGGAGATATTTCTGCCGTGTCCATGCTAGCTGCAGAATTCTGGGAGTTGTATTCCTACTGTACATGCTTTTTCCAGCAAAGGGCAGTTCTTAAGAACAACAAGTGTATCTTTATGTACAGATTTCTGTGGGGCAGGAGGAAAAATACCATACACAAAATGTCTTTATCATGAGGTAGCAGGGCTATGTGTCAGACGGTAGGTGTGGGCTCACAGGGTCAGAGGGGGGGGGGGAAATACTATACACAAAATGTCATTATCATGAGGTAGCAGGGCTGTGTGTCAGACGGTAGGTGTAGGTTCACAGGGTCGGATGCTTTTGCACTCCAGAACACACACACAAAATTACCTTGCCCATAGAAAACAAATGCCAGACAGAAGAGTCCTGGCTTAACCTGTTCTGGTGTGTTTGTTTTCTATATGCAGGAATCCTCAACCTGTTCTGGTGTGTTTGTTTTCTATATGTAGGATTCCTCTTGTTGGGAGCATCACTTTATGACAACCCTCACAACACCTAGCAGAAATGTTGCATCCTAAGCTTACTCTTCCAACTCCTTTTATGAAAGCTGGGATTGTTATATCTGTAAAAGATGGAAACCTTACCTTTTGGATAACTCGGCAGTTAAGATCAGCAGAGGAGGCCCTCCTCTCGGTCCCATTGCCAGCACAAGCACAGCTGATGGGGACACAGGAGAGGGCCTTCTCTGTGGCAGCTCCCAGGCTATGGAACGCTCTCCCTCAGGAGATCAGGATGGCTCCTTCAGTGTTATCCTTCCGGAAAAAAGCTCTATGGAACGCTCTCCCTCTGGAGATCAGGCTGGCCCCTTCAGTGTTATCCTTCCGAAAAAAGCTTACTAAAAACCCATCTCTTCAGGCAGGCTTTTCACCATTACAACTGAATTCCTGAACCCCATTTTATCAGATAATTTTAGCATTTTTTATGTTTTCATGTTTTAATTGTATTTTAAATCATATATAGTTTAACTTATCTTTTAATATTTTACTTATAGTATTTTTAAATTGTGTGAATTTTAATGTTGTGAGCCGCTTTGTGTCCCTTGTTGGGAGAAATGCGGCATAAAACTAATAATAACAATAATAATAATAAAAACTCCCCAAATACCTACTGAAAATAGTGGCAATTCTAGTCCAGTTTTTAAAAAATATTTCTCTACTTCTGAATTCTGTAGGGTAATTTGTCACCATGCTGCAAGTAGTTTTCAGAGAAGCTTTTTTTTCCCTACAAGAGGCCTTGCTGGTTTCAACCTGCAGAATTCTAGTCATCTTAAGACCTCTCTGCTAGGTTGATCCAAATCTGGATTACCTTGAATTCTTATTAGAAATAACTTGCTGACATCATTTAATGATTTCACAACATAAGCCATCATCTTACAGGAAAAGATCAAATACAAGGAAAGGTGAAGAGGGAGCTCCTGTAAATGTTTCTAGTATCCAGTGGTCGGTGAGGACCACTCTAGGCGGCTAAATGTAAATGTTTCTAGTATCCAGTATTCCTCTCTAGCTTCTGCTAAGGAGAGGCTCACTGACTTATTATAACAGAACTTTAAATTGTCAGTTAAGGGCCACAGAGTGACGTTTAATAAGGCTGATCTGATCTAGATGGTATCTTCCCATCCCGTCAAATACATGGTGAAAAGGCCTAAGCAACAGAAATGATCATAATTAGCACCAAGACTTTGATGAAGCCTAAGCAACAATTATGATCAGTGACAAAGAATGAGTCTTACATAATTTTTTGTATTTTTTTAAAGAAAGAATATAGAAAATCCAGTAGATATCACACCCTTGAAAGTGTTCATAATGTACTTTAATCAGGGAGGCAGTGTGTTTTGTTTTACTGTCAAAAACAAAACATGGTCTTGTACATTTTAGTAGTGTTTAGTTAGGCCTCTTACATTTTCAGCCATCTCTTGCTGTCAGTGGAT